CTATAATTACCACCGAGTACAAACTAATATTCCCCACAACACACAATTTTTTTATACCTCCATTTTTATATTTTCCACATACATGGATTCATCGGAAACAATGAATTATAAACCATTGTAACTAGAATCGACAATATGTCCTAACTCTCATAATTACCACGAACAAACAAATCCTAAAAAAAAAACACCAACAACAATAATAATATTCATTTAATAAATTTCTATAAATTTTCCAAAATTTTCCTACAATAAAATATTAATATAAATTATAAACATAACTTAAATATTAATATTAAATATTTCGAATTAGATTGCAATACTTCAATCTAGTTTCAATCTCATCATCGAATTTTTAATAATAATATAATTATTTTCTGAAAAGGGAGCGTAAGTGATGTAATGATGGAAAAATAGACATGGAGTTATTTATTGATGTCGTGTGTAAAAAATAATTTGATGAGGGAATATCTGTGAGTGAATTAGCAATTTGGTGGAAGCTCTCTTGAAATTGTTTTTCAATTCACTGGCACGATTCACAACCGGAATGGTTTATTCAGATGAAGTGGGTGAGGAGGAGTTTTCACTTCTGATGAGTAAGTGGTTGGGCCATCGGAGCGTGAGAGATGCACAAGGGCAATAGTCTGGCCAATAACGGGGCATATTCACTCGAAGATGCTCTCTCGGCAGTAGTAAAATCCGAACAAGTGCCGCCGGAACGAGTCGCAATTTTTATCATTCAGAGATAATTAGTTTTTCGAGGATAATTGACGCTGTAAAATACAAATTACACGGGGAAAAAAAAAGAGAGCGATAGGATGAAAGACCTCATTGATCCTCATTATTCCTCTTCTTTCCCTACAATTAAAACTTTTCAATGGAGGACTAAAAAAACTTGATGAGAAATGGAATAAAGAAGACTTGAATGGAAAATCTAGAGATATGAATAAACATGAGGTGAAAAAATATTTGACGGTGTTGAATTGAAAATTTCAAGTTTTTTTATTATAAAAATGGGGGAATTGGAGGGGAATGGGAGGGGGAGAGGGCAATTGAAATTTGGGGAGGGAGATTAGGAAATTCAAAGGGAAATTCAGAGCAAATATTTCGCTCTTTGGTGGATTGAATGGATCGATAAGGTAGGGAAAAAATTATTAAGACGAGAAATGTATAGAGGACATAAGTAGGATCCAAGGAAATGACGAGAAAGGACAGAAGATGAGAAAAAATGGTCTTGTATGAATGTAAGTCGTAACTCTCAAAAAACCTGGGAAAATGATCAATCATAAAGAAGAGGGGAACTATAAGAATTATGGAATGGTGAGAATTGAATTTAAATTGAGAAAAAAAGGGTCAGGAAATTAAACTTGGAATTGAATTTGAAAATTTGAAAAATACGGTGACACAGAAGTATAAATTGAGAAAATAAAACATGACATTAAACAAAATCGATTTGAATAGAAATTGAAATTCACGAATATGAATACCGATGCCATAAAAAAAATCTGAAAATTCAAATAATTATCAACAATAGCGTAGAAATTGAATTAAAATTCATTTTAAAAATCATAAAAATAGAAACAATTGTACGGGGAGACGCAATCCTTGGGTGCGCGCACTAGATTTTTGAGAACTAAAATATACAGATAAAATTAAAGAAAAAAATGGTGCGACAATAAAAGAAATGTGAGGGTCCCTCCCTCCCCCAGGGCCGCCGACAATCCCCAAAAAAACCCGAAAAACGCATAAATCAAAAGCCCTTTCCCCGAAAAACCCCCGAAACTACCCACCCCATCTCCATAAAAATCCTCATAGACAAATTTCCCCCATTAACTCCCCTGATAAATGTATTTCCCCGTTGAGCCCTCCGGCGTGTCACATTACCTGGCAGTAGCCCATATCCTCTGGAAAGATGAGGGAAAGGTCGAGTCATAAAACTCGAGAGAAAAATGGCAAGTTCCCAAGTATCCGCTCCCGCTAGCCCCGCCAAAATAAAAAAAAAAAGGGGGACGAAAAAGAAAGAGAAAAAAAAAGGCAAATTTTCCAACCCTCAAAACCATCATCATCGCCCCACCAAAACCATCAGGAAAACCAGTACCTCAACCACCTAGGGGTACCCCATATCTAAAAGCCCCCGTCGACGGTTTTGCCGGGTGGCGGTGTAGAAACGCCGCTTTGAAAATCGATAGTGGCGCGTACGCGTACGGCCAATCGCCACGACCTTTCGGCACGTCCACGTACGGACCCAACTCTGGACCTCTGTATATACAATCCTCATCCCCACAACCCTTTCCACCCAACCAAATCCTCCATCACCAGTTGACATCCAGACAAAAATCGAGAAATACCAAAAAAAATTAAAAAATGATAAAAAAAAAAAAGTAAAACCCCCCGTCTCCCGCGTAATCGCTAAATAAAATCGTCACGAAATACCTGGGAATTAATACTAATCTCATATGCTAGATTTTGCGATGAGGAACATCCTCCCTCTCCCTCACACTCCCCACTCCTGTCTTCCTGTGCTTGACATGAAATAAAATTAAAATGCGCATGCGTGAGGAGGGCGATAGCCCGCGTGTGCCCAAGAAGTATTTTCTCGTCAGTTTGAGTCCGTCGGTTGTGCCGCTAGTTGCGAGGTGAGGATTCCGTGTCCGAGGGAAAGAAAAGAAAAGAGAGAAGGAAAAGAGGAGGAAAAGGAAAAAAATAAAAGTTGCATCGATGCTGGCGGCTGGTTGGCCCACCTGAGGAAATATAAGCCGTTGTGGACTCGAGAGGGAGAGGGACTCGGGGAGATAAGGAGGGAGTGAGGTAAAGGTGTGAGAGAGGGTGAGACGAATGATTTGGAGGGGGTGGGATGAAGGGAACGGGGGAGGGCGATGGGGTGGTCACGGGGTGGGGTGGAAGAAGGGGGGTTTATATAGATGTGCAGCGCCGCGGGATTCGCATCAGGTTGGGAGAGGATACGCGAGGAAAAGCCGCGCGTCAAAGTGTAGTTGTGCCGCCCTCTTCTCCACGAGTGTGAGTTAAAAAGAGAGAGATAAAGAGAGTGAGTTTGAGGGAAGATAGGAGTGTGTAATACTGTTCGGGGCAGGCGCAGATAACAGGAGAATCCAACATACCTTGCACAGGGCCAGTCGTTCCTTTGACGTACCTTTCGTTTACCGGATCGCTAAACTAATTCATTTTTCTCTACCACCGGTGAAAAATAAAGGAGTTTATCAAATTCAGTTTGAAAGAGAAAAAAAAAAGGTTGGAATTGACACGCGTGTGAATGAACCCGGACTACCGGAAAACTATACGACACTTGGAATTCATTCATATCCACGGGTTTTAAATATTTTTTTTCTTTCAAACAGTTTTTTTTATTTATAAAGGTTCATTGGAATTATTATTTTTAACTCGGAATGTTGAATCGGGTGTGTGGACAGGAGGAATTGGATTTGTATTCGGTGGCAATGGCGTTTCATTAATTATTCATTCTGTTGTTTTATTTTTTTATTGACAAACGGATCGTGTGATTTTTACTGATCAATCGAGCGCTCTCATGTCGCGGAAATTCAATTTCTCTCCGGTGATGGGTGTCAAGTGTGAACGGTCTGACATCCACCGGGAAAATTAAATTTTCATTTGAATGATTATTGAAAAAAGCCTCATCGTCCTCATCCCCGCCAGTCCTCACAAAACCAGGAACTCCCGACTCGCTTCCTCCGAGTCTATTGCCACTTATTGATTTCCACGAGGTTCGCGTTTAAAACCCCCCGGCTGACGAAAATTTTCAGGAAAACCCCCGGGGGTTTACAATCGATCGATCATTTGCAAGGGGTTGGCTGTACCTAGTGCATGAAAAATCATCAACTTTAAAAAAATAAAAGACAAACAAATAACAACTACAAATGATTCAATTACGCCGGAACGACAACAAATCAATGCAATAATCAATAGTCCCGAAACACCCACGACAGAGGTCCGATCGAGTGCGAAAACAATGCGAATAAATTACCCTCATCCCTCATTACACCTCCCACCCTCATCCATAAGGATAATTAATGACGGGGGTAAAAGGGGTGGTGGCGGCGCCCTTATTTTCCTTTCCCACAGTTATTTTTTCCTCTTGTATTCTGAAACCTGTCCTATCCCACATTCTCCCTTGATCTCCCTCTATCTCCCTTCACCCCCATTCATCCCCCATCATGCCCCTCACCGCCCCAACCCCTTCCACACATCGCCTCTTTTTTCTTTCCGTTCATTTTTTTTGTTGTTTTTTTTTTTTATCCACCAGCCCTTTCTACCCGTACATCGTCGAGGCTTATTCCAACGCTCTCCTTCGGTCGAGTGGCTTCTACCACCGAATTGTATGGGAAAAGAGTAAGAGAGAATAGATAAAGCGAGAGGGTGAAAAAACCCAAGCCCCCGAGAGTGGGTGAGATCAGATCGATCGATCGACCTAAGCCTACTTGAGTTTTCCTAACCTAAGAATACACTGTCAGGGGGGTAGAGGGGGTAGAAGGGGGTGAAAAGGGGGATGAGGAGGATAAGGAGGATGAGGACGAGGGAGGGTCTGAAGTGGTGGGTGTTGGAGTGGGGTGAAGTGGCTTGTGGGGAATATACAGTGGGTGGAGGGTGGAAAAGGGGGTAAAACTAACCCATCCCGCCCTTCTTCAACTACTTGCATCAAAAACCAACCCCAGATCCACCCCCTCTAACCCATACTCTCCCGATGTCTCACATCTCAGCGTTTTCCGGACGAAATAGTGAGGGTATATAACTGTGAGTTGAAACACCCGATGACTTCATACATGTATATCTAATCTCGTGAGGGGGATGCGGGTGATAGGGGAGGATTCTCAACAATCATTAACTCGGGGCGATGGTATTATCACGAAACGTGCACCGTGAACGGTTTATCGGATCACTGCATAATTGATTCGTCAAAAGTTGAAACACACACGGGGGGGGGGAGGGGAGATGGGGGGTTATCGATATTTTCACGGCGTAAATTTAGATCGGCTAAATTAGGGGGCGGGGGCTATTTTAGGGGCTGGGTAATTGGGGATCGGGGAGGAATGTTTAGGATTCATCAGCGATGTCGGGGTGTGGATTAGTGGGGGAGTTGGGGGGCGAGGGAGGTTTTTTCGATATTTTCGATATTTGTACGTGGGAAATTTAGATCGCGGAATTCGGTGGGAGAGGGGGTCATTATTGATTTTCACGGAATTCGAGTGGGAAATATTTTCGAGTTTGGGGTAATTGTGGTGTAGGATTAATATCACTGATTGATTATTGAGGCGTGAGAATTTTGTAGAATTGATTTTTTGAAGAGGGCAGGGGAATTCGGGAGACATGAGTGGATTTTCGTGGGTGAAATTGTGAATTAAAAAATAATTCAATAATTCAATAGTTTAGATCGATGATTTTGGGAGGAGAGGAATTATTTTCGG